GCAGGACAGTGTCATGCCATCAACTGATCTGCAACTTGATCCCAGTTGGTCAACTGCCCCACAACTGCCCTTTCTCTGGAGCAGAACCCGTTTAGGATCCCACCTTGCTGAGAGTTCTAAAAGTTGGGGGAGCTCTTACGGGCTTCCGGGCACAAGTGATGAGGTTCAGGGCACACTTCCCCCAAATACGGCACCTTGGCTTCTCCCGTGTCTTAAGGTGGGGGAGTTTGAGAAGACGGCAGAAGCAGGGACGTCCCTCTGACCTCCCCGCTCCCTTCTACCCTGAAGCAGGAGTCAAATGTCCCAAGTGAAGGGTGCCCTCTCTGGACCAGGAGGGCAGAGAAAGCCTGGTGAGCAGAGACGGCGATTCAGGGCCAAGAAGGCGGCGTAGACGCACCTGCTGCCCCTTCACCCAAACCACGCCGAGCCCAGCCCTCTGCTCTCTCTTCACAGGTTTGCTGTGTGTTTGCTGCAAGGTGTAAAAGCTCCCTGCTCTGGTCACTTCTTTGCGTCTTCATCCTCTTTGAAAGCTCTCACGTACATGTCCAAGGTCAGTAACTTTACATGGTTGTCTCCTATTAATCCACCTTACGTCAGTCTAATTCTTAGGCCGAGACAGAGACCCGAAGAAGGGAGAGGAAATTCCCCTCCCCTACTCAGTCTTCAGGGCTTCATTTCTGAGTGAGGCCCACAACTCAGTCCTCCCTCACTGAGAGGCCAGGGCTACTTCACAATGCTCTGCGGGGCCACACCTAGTTGGCAAGACCTAGCACAGGGGCCTGCAGGCACAGCGGGACCCAGGAGACAGAGCTCAGCGGTGAGGGGGCAGAGAACCATTCTCTAGGAGAAGCACGGGGCGGGGTTGATGACGGGGCTGGACAGTTGAAACCCACTGTAGGTAAGCGGAACGTATCACTCCCTGTCCCGTGTCCCTGATGCCTCGCATCCCAGTTCAAACGTCACCTTCTCTGTAAGCCTTCCCTGAGGCCCACCAATGGCACTTCTCTGTCCAGTCACCTGTGGGGTCTGTCCTGGGGGCCGTCCTCCTCACCAGGTGTAGCGGCAGGGAGAGGGTCTTGCCCGCTTGGCAGGTGTTTAGAAGTGACACCTGCTGGAATCACGGGAGAGCCCAGTGGGTGTGAAAGGAGGGTCGGGCCTCCACGCAGGGAGAGTCCCCCCGGTGGGTCCTTCGGTCAGATCATGGGGCCCCTGGAAGGAAGGGGTGTCAGCCTCTGTTTAACTGCAGGCAGAGTCTCCGGGGCAGCCGGTGTTGGCTGGCGAGGGCTGCGGGCGGGGACAGCGGCCAGCGGACGAGGCCGGCCCCTTTCTACCTGGAAGGCACCGCAGTGAGGAGGCCACAGAGATGGGAGCCGGATGTGGGGGGCACCCTCTGCTGCTGCTGGTGGCCCTGGCCCTGGCGGCCAGGCTGGGCCGGCCTCAGAGGTGGGGCGGCTTCCAGGAGAAGTCCACGAGCGCGAAGAACATGAACTCCACGCTGGCCTTCTACACGGACGCCTACAACAACAAGAGCAACGACTCCTACCTGTTCCGCGTGGACAAGCTGCTCCGAAGTCAGGTGCAGGTGAGCGGCCAGGCTCCCGCTGCGGGGATGGGAGGACCCTGCAGGGTGGCCCAGCCCCGGAGCTGCCTGAGCACCGAGGGGCCGGCCGAGGCCGGGGGCCGGACTGTCACTCTGGTCTGAGCAGACATGTGCCCTGAGTCTCACAGCGGCTCTTCCAGCGCTCGACTTGTCTTTCGCTCTGAAATGAGGTCCTGCCGAGGGACAGCCAGCCAGGAAGGTTTTGTTTCCCCCGTTCGTCTCGTTTGGCAAAACACAGATGTTCTCTGCAGGCCCCTCTCAGCCGTGGTTCCCACGTCCAGGGCTGGAACATCCGCTCGGGGACTTTCTGGCCGTGCCCCTCGGAAACCTGGGCTCACACAGAGGGCCTCCAGCCACGTTATGCGGGAGCCGGGAATTACCAAGGGATTCTGGGGAGCAGGGAATCACGGGGCAGGGACAGGCTCCAACCAGATCATCTCTCCTGTTTCACATATAAAGCTTCTCTGAAGGATAGTGTTTGAGGGATAACAGAGGAAAGCAAAGCTGTTTAAAAACCACTTTTGTTTGGTCCAACCTGCCGTCAAGTTTAGACAGTAAGCCATGTATTAGAGCAGAGGCAATAACACAGCTTCATTCGGTTAACTGGATTTGGAAAGATCACCTGGCTGGGAGAAAAGGGCCCGGCCTGAGAGCGGGGCAGTGGGCACAGAGAGCAGCAGAGGGGGTGGGCGGTGCCCGTGTGACACTGGTGGGCCTCATGGGGTGTGCACGGCAGCCTGCCCTGAGCCCCCGCTCCTGCTCAGGCGAGCCAGGGACACTGAGGACGCTTGGCCACAAGGTGGCGGCCGTCCACCAACGTTCTGCCCCTGTTGGCGTCTCCAGGGGCCTGCCGTGTGGACTGGGTCCATCACTAACAGCACCTAAGGCGGCTGCTTACAAGCAGCTTCTGATGCCGTTCAGGCCGATCAGCGGTCAGAGGGGACGTGCCCCTTGCAGCGGGGTGACCCAGGGCGAGGGCCCCTGGGCCCCCGGCACCTGCTGCCCTGCGCCGGTGGGCGCGGAGGTGCACGCAGCGGGCCGGCTCCACTGGGCCCCTGGACCCCCTTCACCCGTGAAGACCCTTCACTGCCGTGATTGTTCCTGTTCCTGTTTAATGGCCAGTCTAACAACGAGGCAGCAGACACCTGGCACGCCGAAACGTCAGTGAAATCCACACCGATGCTCCGGCTTCCGTGTATGTGCGGGTCACACGTGCTGATGTCAGGGTGGACCTCTTGGTCTGAGCCTTGCGGGCCGGATGGAGCTGCCCTTTGATGGACAGCCGGGCCCTGGTCCTGAGGTCTTTTTGGTGGACGCGGGACCAGGCCGGCGGTCCTGCCCTCAGGCCCCTCCCCCGCATGCTCTGCCTCGAGGTTTCTGGGGCTCTGTCCGCCCCCTCTGTCGCCACCACAGAGAGTGCCTGGTCTCCTCGCTGGTTCGACCACTGAGTCTGGGACAAGGCAGCGGGGCCCTCCCCCGAGTCTCTCCCCTCGCCAGGTGGATGATCCAGCGCACACGCTCACGTGGGGTCCATCTGTTGGCCTGTTCCTCCTGGGTTTGGGGCTTCCGGCCACAGGGGGCCTCCCCAGTGTCTCCCCATCTAGTCCTGGCAGCCTGGCACTCGGACATGGGAACAGGAGCCAGGGCCTGCACTCTCCGTGGGTGTGTGCACACCTGGGGAGGAATTGGTGCCACGCCACCCCGCCACCCATTTTCTAGGGAAGGGAACTGAGACCCAGGAGGTGGACGGACCTGGTCCCGGGCCCAGGGCCAGGGGAAGTTCCTCCGTCTCCTGTTCTCCCCCACACCACTCACGCTGCCTCTGAGTGCTTTCCTGCGATTGGCTAAAACATGTCCTCATTCGTGGTCGTTGAGCTGATCGACAATTTGTTTTGCATGTTCAGTGGGTGCACACCTGGGCAGGCACTGGGAGAGGAGGAGCGCGTGAGGCGCACGGCCGCAGGGGCCCAGGAGGGGGTGGGGAGTGTGCTCAGGTCAGCCCGGTCCCTACACCCAGGCCATCAGCTGTGGTGCCAGCTGCTCGGCCGTCAGGTCAGGTGTGGCAGGAAGGACAGCAGGGAGGGGGGACAAGGTCATGGTTCCACGCATCCTGAGGACCATGCGTGCAGGCCAGGGCTACGATGGGTCCCGAGGAAGCAGGAGACGGTGAGAAGCCACCTGTGGCTGCAGCGGTGCGCTGGTCCAGAGCAAGGGACAGCTCCGCACGCTCTGGGCGCTGACGGGGCCTCGGCTGCCACCACGTGTCCTCCCGCCGGGAGGGGAGGAGGGCGAGCCCCGGGACTCCTGGGCCTCCCTCTCACCCCAGCTCCGGGGTCAGAACTAACAGCTCTTTTCTGGGCAGCTGACCACAGGAGTGGAGTACCTGGTCACCGTGAGGATCAGCCGGACCAAGTGCAAGAGGAATGACACAGGCACCCGCCCCTGCCCCGTCCAGAGCAAGAATAAGCTGAGGAAGGTGCGCCCGCCTGCCCGCCCGGGAGCAGGGTCTGGAGTGGAGTGGATGGGGTGGCTGGGGCGGGGCGAGGGCTCAGCCCAGGGCTGGCATGGGGGGTGGGGACGTGAGGAGGGAAGCCCTCTGGCTGGGCCTCGCCCCACCCTGGGCGGCGCTGCGCTGGCCCCGGCCTCCGGCCACCAGTCCTCACCCACCTGGCCCTCTCCCCAGCCCTCAGGCGGGAGCAGAGCTTGCTTCCCTCAGGGACCTTCTCTGGGTCTTGGTCAGCACCCCCAGGTCCCTGTGGATTGTCCAGTCGCCTCCCTATCTCCCAGCCTCTGCCCTCTTCCTGGTCCCTCCTGCTGGCACCCCCTGCCAGCTGGCAGGCCCAAAGGGCTCTCCCTGTCCCCAGGTGCAGGGGTGCCTCTCGGGGGATGCCTGCTCCGGCTCCTGAGTGACTGGGCAGGGGAGCCTAGGATGACATTTCTGTGCTGGCCGACAGCCCCCCTCGCCCCAGCATGTGACAGTGAGCACATCCGGCCTTGCCCACGTGGTCACGTGGTCGTGTGGTCGGTGAGCAGCCTCAGAAGTGGGTCCGGACTCCCCCAGACTGCGGTGGGGGGCGGGGACTTCTGTCGCCTTCGGAAAACGTTTCCCTGAGAACTGATGGTCCGTCTTCTCTCTCCTCAGAGCTTCATTTGCGACTTTCTGGTGTACACTTTGCCCTGGCTGAACCATTACCAGCTTTGGAACAACTCCTGTCTGGAGGCCTAAGTGCATGTGTGCAAAGTCTTTGATAAACCTCAGACGGCAGCACTGTGTGCTGTTTATTGTGGAATCTGAAAGGCCCTGTGTGCCTGGTCAGGGTCTCCGCACACAGCCCCACTCGCACCTGGAGGCACGCTCACACGCGCCCACACGCGCAGGCCCACGGGGCACGTACACACTCAGCATGCATTTGGGGGTCTTTGGGCGGCTGCTGCGGTTTGAGCAGGAGGCTGCTAATTCTTTGGGGGCCTGCTAACTTTCCCACCTCCAGCCCGTATCTCTGAGGCTGTTCCCGATTCAGGCACGTCCTGACTCTGGCCTGACCTTGGAGAGCCCCGTTTCTCCCCCGCACACGTCCAGCTCTGTGACTGACTCCCAGGACCTGGCAGGCGCAGAGTTGTACTCAGGGCTGTGACCTACCGTGGTGAAGGACGCAGACAAACTGAGCAAAGGGAGGAGGCCAGCAGGGAGGAGACGTCCGGGGCACAGCACGGGGTTCTGGGTCCCCTCCCGGGGCAGCCACCCAGGACGCGCCTCAGTCCTCCAGGAGTCAGGTGAAATGTTTGCCAGGGATGCTCCTTGGGGCTCAGTGTCCCGGGGTTTCCCTGGAGCTGCTCACACAGGCACCCTCTGTCCAGCGTGGACCGAAATGGCAGGTTCTGGAAGGAAAGCAGGTGCTGAGCATCAGTCCTGGTGTTTGCACAACATGGACCCAGTGAGGCCCCGATCACTTAGGGGAAGATTTAGAGCCATGTCAGGAACTGTTTACCATCCTAGCTCCTGGGTTCCGGCCAAGGCCAACTGTGCAAGCAGGCCTCTCCGAGGACCCGGTCTTGGGCTGGCTGCGGGATCTCTCCTTGAGCCTCAGACATGCTCACCGCTGGTGGCATCTTCCCTCACATAACTCATAGTCTGGCAGAAAGATGCACCCTGGACCACAAATGGGGAGCGGCTGTGGGCTGTGAGCTGCCCCCAGACCAGCTGGTCCCTCCCCGGGGCCTGGTCCCACCAGCACAGTCAGACCAGCCACCTGAGAGAGAGTTTCCAAAGGGGAGGAGTGGACACCGCAGGCAGCACAGGTCTCCCCAAGAGCCCTGGGGCAGAGGGGAGGATGGAGGGAAAGGGTCAAAGGCGGTGAAATTCTCCTGCCAGCAACACAGAAGCACCCAGCTCTGAAAGGCTGATGTCGCTGGGGGCTGCCTGCGCCTGCATGGCCTGCCACCCCCACTGCCTCCCTCGGTCCACGTGACAACCCGATGAAAGAGTGGTTTACGTCCACGTCACTGGTGCGGAGCTGCCAAGGGTAACCTCTGTCGGATCGCAGCCGAGCGCAGCCCACTGGCTGAAGTCTTAGAAGTGGACCCCCACAGTCACAGTCTTCTGTCTCTGGCTTCTGTCTCACGAGAGTTTCTGAATCCGTCCGCGTCCTGTGCACTGTGGCTCACATGTAGGGCTGTGTAGGTTTCCCTCGTGTGAGCCTACTGTGACTTACCATCCATTCTACTGGGGGCCGGCCTGCGGCTAGTTTCCAGCTTTTGACAAGAAGAGCATTAAGAACAACCTGCATGGTCCCGTCTGAGAGGGGACAGGCGCACGCGTCTCCGCTGGGACGGCCCTGAGAGTGGAGTCGGTGGATGACAAGACGTGTGTGTGTTCAGCCTTCAGCTAATTTACTCAAGACCTTTGAACATTTTCTAATTATTTGATCTATGTCTGTCAGTTACTTCATTATTGATTGACATCCGCTCAAAGTCTGACTTCTTTTTTTATCTTTTATTCATATGGCCACATGGCTTCATTTCTGTCTTTATTTTATGTAGTTTTATATTGACACTCTCACCTTTTTCATACCATTTTCCCAAACTTTATGACTTTGCTTTGAGGTTTCAAGGCGAACTCTCCCCTCCCCACCCCACCCACCCACCTTGCGTTTTCATAAACACAACTAGGAAGGCAGGTCTGGGGCAGGCACCTGTGACAGGAGTGGGGAGGCAGGCCCTGACCTCTAAGAGACCAAGACAGGTCTCCTTATCAGAGAGAGGCAGAGAGGGCTTGGCAGAGACGTGTGGAGGATGAGGCACGTGGAGACAGAGGCAGCGATGGGGTCGTGTGACCACAGCCCGCAGCGCCAGTGGCCACCAGAGTCGGGAGGAGGCAAGGAACAGATTCCAGCCCAGAGCCTCCGGGAGGAGCCCGGCCCGGCCGACACCTCTGAGCTCAGGCTCACGGCCCCAGAACTGTGGGAAACACACTTCTGCAGCTTTAAGCCACCAAGCTGGCCGCCTGTTACAGCAGCTGCAGCAGCTGATGCCCTGGGTCGTCTTCTTGCTTCGTCCACCTCAGACTTGGGGGTGAAGAAGCTGCTAGCATTTTGCCTAACGTGTAGACAAAGACGCCTCAACCAGAGCTCGCTCTCTGCTGTCCAAGGGCCAGGAGGGGGGCGGCCCTGCAGGACAGGAAACACTGGGGCAGCAACGGCTGTGCCCCAGCCAGCTCCGCAGGAGGAGGGGAGGGTCCACGGCCCCGGCCGAGCCGAGGCCGAGCCGGGCGCCTGAGCTTTCAGCCCCTCGGGACCACGACCAGGAGCCTGACACCACGTGGGTGAGGTGTCAGAGACGGCCGGCAGGACTGCCATCCCTGCTGGGGGCCGCCAGCCCCCCACTGCCTGTGCGGATAGAGAAACCTCCTGGAGAGTCTGGAGTTTGGTTTCTCCCCATGGCGGGGGTATCAGAGGAGGCAGTGGGGAGCACAGGCCTGGGGGAGCCCGAACTCCACCCATGTCCAGTGTGGTGGGAGCCCCAGCCTGGGTCAACAAGCCACATGGGGACCTGGGCTCCCCCCACCAGGGCCCTGTCAGAGGGGCTTGCTAGAAGACAGAGAAAGACAATCCAGAGTTATCATACGAACATGTCCAGGTTTTAACAGAAAATCACCTGTCCTGCTAAGAGCCAGGACAGTTTCAGCTTACACACGAGAAGAGGCAGTGAGCAGGTGCTCACGTAGAGATGACGCAGACGTCAAAATCATCGGATGGAGGCTGCAAGGCAGCCATCATGGAAATGTTACAACGAGCCATTATAAACCCACTTCAAGCAAATGAACACGCAGAAAGTCTCAGCAAACGTGAAGAAACTCGGCCAAGGAAGAGGAGCTACAAAGAAACCAACGGAAATCTTAGAACTGAAAAGTGCAGTAACGGGGATGAGACCGCGTGAGGGGGCCCCCCAGGGGAATGGCGGAAAAGGGGTGAGAGTGACCTGACTGCAGAGAGAGCAATGGGGACCAGCCGCTCGGAGCCACAGTGAGGCCAGCACAAAAGGTCTAACCCAGCGAGCCCGGAAGGAGAGGAGAGAGAGGGCTGAAAACCTGAAGAAGCCATGGCTGAGGACCTCCCCACTGCGGCAAAGGGCCTCGACATGAGATTTGAGACACTGCTGGAATTCTAAATATGACTAAACCGAGGAAGTCCACACCCAGGCACGGGAGGGTCAGACTTCTGAAAATTAAAGACAAAGAAAAAAATCTTGAGAGCCATGAGAGAGAAAAGATGCCTTATCACTGAGAAAAGAAGAAACCGACTTGGAGTGGCCACAGATCTCTCACCATAAACCGTGGGGGCCAGAAGTGGCATAACACTATCCAGGTGCTGAAAGGAAAAAAAAACTGTCTGCCCAGAATCCTATGTCCACCTAAAATATTGTTTAGGAGCGAAGGGGAAATCAAGTCATTCTCAGGTGGAGGGAGATGAAGAGAATTTGCCCCAGAAGCTCCGCCCGCGAAGAATTGGTAAGAGCTCTCTAGATGGAGAGGGCTCTGTGAAAGGGAGACTCGTAAAATGTCAGAAAGAAGACCCTTAAAAAGTAAAACTTTGAGTAAATGCAATAGGCCTTCCTTCCTGTGAGTTTGTAGACTATGTTTGATGGTTAAGGCGAAGATCAGATCATTGATGTGGTTCCTGATGTATGTAGAAGAAACAGTTCGGACGCCCGGAAACAAGGGCAGACAAAGGGAGGGAAACGGCCACACGACTGGTAGAACACTGACCCCATGGTCCGAGGCGCACGCCCGTGATGGGACCTCCAGGCCGACAACGGGAAGGCTGTGCAGAGACACGCAGACACAGTGCAGACCCACAAAAGCAAAACCCTGAAAAACGTTCAAGTAACTCACAGGAAGAATAAAGAAAACAGAAATAAAAAGCAGAGAGGACAGAAAACAAAGAGCAAAATGGACTTAAGCTCTGACGTGTTAATAATTCCATGAACGGCACATACAAACTGCGTGTAGACTGTCTAAACACACTGATTAAAAGACAGACATCGATAGTGAATTTAAAAAGTGGCCCAACTATGCACCGTCAACAAGAAACTCCCTTCAGATATAATGGTGTAGGTAGGCTGAAGGTAAAAACATGAAAAGTTACATTATGCAAACACTCATTGAAAGCAGCGTTAATATCCTGCTTTCTGTATATTAATATATTAATACCAGGAATGTGTTGCATTTCTATACACTAACAAGGACATATCAGAAAAAGAAATTAAGAAAACAATCTCACTTACCATCACATCAAAAAGAATTAAATACTTAGGAATATAATCTACCTAAGTCGGCAAAAGACCTGTACTCTGAAAACTATAAGACACTGACGAAAGAAATTGAAGACGACATAAACAGATGGAAACATACACCGTGCTCTAGGACTGGAAGAATCAATATTGTTAAAATGGCCACACTACCCAAGGCAATCTACAGACTCAGTGCAGTCCCTGTCAAACTAACAATGGCATTGTTCACAGAACCTAAACAAAAAATTGTTAAATTTGCGTGGAAATACAGAAGAATCCAAACAGCCAAGACAGTCTTGAGAAAGAACGGAGCTGGAAGAATCTGACTTCAGACTGTGCTGCAAAGACGCAGCAATCAAAACAACACGGTGCTGGCACAAGCACAGACCCACAGGTCAACGGAACAGCATAGAAAGACCAGAAATGAGCCTGTGCGCT